GGTCAAGTTTCCCCCACCCCAACTACCCCACTCCAGCTGACCAGGGCTCCATCCTGGGTCACAGATGTCACCAGGTGGGGGCCTCCCTAGGGCATCCACGGCGGCAAGGCTGGACAGTGAGCAGCCCCGCCCCCTAAAATGAACTGAGGCCACATTGCACCGGGCAGAAGGGGACACTTGACCGCAGACCCCAGGGGAGACAGGCTCACCTGTGGAAGGAAGCTGTCCTGCCAGTGCCTTAGCTCCCCTCCCGCCACGTCCTCCTGCCCCCTCCCCTCCACCCCACTATCTTCTACCAGATCCCACACTTTCCTCCCCACAACAACCACCTTAGCTGACTCTCAGACCACCCTGGCTGTCCAGCGGCAGGGGTGAGGAGGCGGGATCTCCCACCCTGAACTGCCCTACACTTCACCCCACAGAGCCAGGCTTTCCCGTGGGAAGGTCTGCTACGGAACCAACAGTCCCTGCTGGGGACAGCAAACTAGTCCACTCCCCATCGGAGCAGCATGTCTAGGTGGTGCAAGGGTGGCCTTCAGGGCCCCCCAGCCCTCTTTCCTTCCCCAGTCCCCGGTGGGTGCCTGGAAGCCCCTGACCTGGTTCCAAAGCTCGCCAGGACTGTCCCCTCGCTTTCAGAGTGGTATCAATCACCTCAAGGGACAAATGAGCTACAGCTAGCTCGGTGACAGGCACCCACCCAGCAGGGCTGTCTCCCCTGCAAGCCTGCGGAGTCCGCAGGATCCGGACCAAGCCCAGTCCTGGCCTTGGGGGCCTTCCCCCTCGGTGCGGCACTCCGCACAGCTCCCAGGTGTGCAAGCAGCCCCGATCCCCCACCACATGTGGCGTTATTTTTGGCTGGGCCCCCCTCATCAGCTCAGATCCACCCTGCGGCCACTGCCCACTGGCACCTCTATCCCGGCCCGGGATGGAACAGACTGGCCCCACCACAGTGCCCAGGGCGAGTACCCGCGGAGGGAGGGTGCGGGCTGCGGCTTCTGCGGGTCTTCTGTTCTCACGTTTCAGACTCTCCCACGCCAGTGTGCCGCTGCAACGCCCACCCCTCTACTTAGAACTCAAACCGGTCAGGTTAGTTTGGTGGGTCTCAGTCTTTCCATCTGTAAAAGAGGGTAGATGACTCCCGTTCCCAACAACTATTGTCTGGGTCCCACACGCAATGCAAGGTGCTTTGTAAATTCTCAGCTTGTCTAAATGTTTGAGCCGCTTTGGGCCTATGACAGGTCCTCAGAGCAATCAGCCTCGACAGGCTGCAGTTGGAAGGCCCCTCCACGGTGGAGGGCAGGGGGCTGCATTCCTGGTAGCCAGCATGTATGGGGACAGGTGTCTCCTCACCCCACCCAGCAGTGTGCTGACGTCAGGTCGTGGGCCTGACTTCAGGCAAAGGAAGCTTGGAGAGATAAGCAGGTGGCTATCCCAGCAAACAAGTCCTGGAGCTCCCGGGACACAGGCAAAGTAGGTTGGAGGCCACCGAGGTGCTGGAAGGTGTGGCCGGTGCCTGGGCCCTGCTGGTGGCCAGGAGGGGTCAGCAGATCTCAGGCACGGATGACCCGGTGGGTGGAATCTTTGTGGGTGTTTGGTGGCAATGCTATGAGGCTCAGTAGTATCTCTGGCTGGGGGAGTGGGTGTGGGCCCCTGCTGGGCAGGATGTGTGGCCCAGACAAGCCGGTCAGATCCGGGCTGCTGCCCAGGCCTGCACAGCAGCCATGGACAGGGGCAGGTGGCAGGCAGGGCAGCAGCAGGCCGACCCAAGCTTCGGGCTGCTGGCTGAGTCCATGCCTTCTGGCCTCGCCAGCATCCTGGGCATGTCTAGCCCCTGGAGAGGGCTGGGGCCGGCTGTGCACACACCCGGCTAGGGCCAGGCTGGGCCATTGACACTGTTCTGCAGCAGCCCGGGTGGGACAGGGGCCGCACCAGGGGAAGCCTGAGTGCAAGTCTCATAGGGCGAGCTGCCTGGGGACCTGATGGCATTAAAGGAGGGATGTGGGGTGAAGGAGAAGCTGAGTGGAGGTTTCCCAGGCCGATCTTACCAGAAGGGATTATGGCCAAGGCCCAGCACTGGGCATGGCTGCCAGGACAGAGGTGAGCCGGACAAACGTCGGCCACCACGGGAGCCGGGGCTGTGCCTCTGGTCGCCTTCACAACTAGCCCCTGAGGCCCCCCACCAGCGCTCGACACACAGCAGGGGCCTGGCAGCCGCTCTGGCCCCTGGTGCTCTGCTCACATAGGGTGTGACATCCCCGCCCAACTCACGCCCCAGCCAGCCTGCCCCAGGAAGCGTGACGTCTAACAACAGTCTGCATTTCATTTCCTTCTTCCAGAGTATAAGTGAGGGGTCCTGCACTGGCCAGGCCCCTCCTCTGTCAGGCCTGGAGCCACAGCACGCCCCCCCGCCCCGCCAATGTGGAAGGTCACTGTATTACTCCACTGGGGCTGCAAACCACCGCAGACGGTGGTGGGGGGGCTTAAACAAGAGACTTATTTTCTCACAGTTTTAATTTGGAGGCGAGAAGTACAAGGTCAAGGCGCTGGCATGCTGGTTTCTCGCTGGGGACTCCCGCCTTGGCTTGGAGACGGCCACCCTCTCTCTGCCTCTTCATAGGCCCTGACCCTCTCCTGGTCTGAGTCCACATTTCCCCGCTGAGCTCACCTGTCTGATCCGGTTACGGCCCGCCCACCTGTCCTCATTCTTCCTTAATCACCTCCCTGAAGGCCCTGCCTCCGGGAACAGCCACACCTGAGCTCCCTCCGCAGGGCCTCATCAGTGCTCTGGGGTGGATGCTCTGGGTTCTCCCGGCAGAGGTGCGGTCCGCGTCCTCTCTGGGTTCCCACTTTGGCTACTGCCTTTATGAGCTGCTGGGCGGCATTAAAGGCTCTAGATGAATAAGCTGGGAGGGGCAGAGGGAGGAAAGCCCAGGGAAGCCACAGGAGGCGGCCTGGGCAGGGAGGCTGGCATTTCTGCAGCCCTCCCTGCCTGCCCACCCACACTTTCCTGCCATCCTCCCCCTTGGATGCCCCGCTGACACCAGCCCCCCGCTGGTGCTGGCGCAAGACTTCCAAAGAAGTTTCATACCCACATTTCCAGAACCTCAGAGCAGCAGCCGTGGGAGGGAGGCAGGGCAGGCCTTCCTTCGTCCACCCCACTGGTCTGGAGATCAGGGACGGCGTGCCCAAGGGCAGAGCTCGGACTCACCCAAGGCCTTCTGCCCTCTCCTTGCTCTCCCTGCTCCTGGCCTGAACAGGGGCTGGGCTCCCAGTGAGGAATGAATCACAGGGAGCTGGCAGGGTAAGGCCTGTATTTGTGGCTACCCAGTGCCAAGCACAGGCATGAGGCCCGCCCTCCTGCCATCTGCAGGGAAGCCTCCTGCCAGGGGAGCAGTGGAGAAGCAAGGCTGGGCAGGGAGAGCTGAGGGGGAGGCAGACGGCTCGCTGAGCCCCTGCAGTCAGACCTCTGCCACTTCTGAGCCCCTTGCCTGTAGACAAGTTTCTCGGCTTCCCTGAGCTGCAACTTCTTCATTGATAAATCGGGGACCGATGCGTCATGGACCAAACGCCGGCGTGCTCACCCCGCACTCGGACTGTTTTCAGCGCAAGAGCTATAGGATCGACCACTCCCTGCCCTCTGGAGCTGGGTGGGGGGGGGGCAGACATACTCTGAAGGCAGGGCCGGAGGGGCTGCCATGGTCCATCTAGCTTGGAGGTCAGGGAAGGCCCCCCATGTGGCTGAGCTGGGCCTCTGAGGAGGAAAAGAATCCAGGGCACAGGGGTCAGAATAACACCTCCCTCTCCTTGGGCCCACTCAGGAGGGGAGGGTTAAGCTCCCTGTGTCCCCCCAACCCCCACCCCTGCTTTATTCCAGGCCCCTAGGAGAAAGACCTCCTCCCCCAGCAAGACTTCCTTGCAGGTTGCAGGCCCCCTCCCCTCGCAGGCTGGCCGTGAGTGCCTGGGGCAGGGGCTGCGGGGGCTCTGGGACCCCTAGCAGCTCTCTGCAGCCCCAACCCGGGTAGGACAAGTAGTCGGGTGAGCAGTAAAGGACGGCAGATGCTGGCAGCCCGGTGAGCAGGACACGCCTCTTCAGGGGCAAGTTGTCCTCAGCCTGGGTGCGCAGGGCACAGGGGGCCTGAACCCAGACTGCCTACCTCAGGTGCTTGCTCCGTCCCATCCCTGCTGAGTCCCCAGTGCCTGAACCTGGTCCCCTCAGGAATGTGGGGAGGCGGCACCTGCCTCCCTGGCCTATAAACAGAAGCCTATGGTAGTCTGTGGGGGGACAACAGGGCTCGGACCTCCTACAGGTGCCTGTCCAGGCCTTGGAGCTTACGTGTGAGAGGAAGGCAGGGCCAGCCCAGCTCTGGGGAGGACATCAAGCCGCCTATCGGGGCCACATCCGGATTGGCACAGGTGTCCCTCGCCCACCCGGAGCGCCAGGCCTGTCCGCAGGCGGCCCAGGCACCACTTCTGAGCCCCTAGAGGACCGGCCATTTCGACCCCACCTGTCATTAGGACCCACTAAGGAGGCGTTATTGAGCTCCAGCCCCCGCCTGGCAACTGTGACCCGGACCCCAAGACCAGCGGCGAGGGGAGGCCCCCCTACTCCTGGGCCTGCGCCCTCGGGACCATCCCGGAGCAGCACCCGGGGTCTGCGCGGCCCGAGTCCCGCCCACTGCCCTGCCGGGCCGCTCGCCCCTCCTCCGCCCTGTCCTCGCGCCCCCAGCCCCCTCCTGGGTCCCACGCCGACCCTCTTGTCTCCCCCCGCCCGCCGGCCCCTCTTCGATCCCCCCACTCCCTGCAGCTCCCGGGGCCCCCTCCTTGGGACCCCCACCTCGCGCCGCGGGCCCCTCCTCGGCACCCCCGCCCTGCCCCTCCTCTCCCCTGCCCTCCCACCCCCGCGCCGGCCCCCTCCGCGTCCCCCGCGGCCGCCCTGCGTACGGGGTGACGCAGCGCCGCCCTCCCCGCGCGCCCCGCCCGCCCCGCGCCGCCGCCGCCGCCGCAGCCCGGGCTCGGGGGGCCGCTAACGGTCCCGCGCCCCTCGGCGTCCGCGCCCCCGCCCCGCGCCCGGCGAACAGGCGGCGCCGGCGGGCGACCGGCGCGATGGGGGCGGCGGAGCCGCTGCGCTCGGTGCTGTGGGTGAAGCGGCAGCGCTGCGCCGTGAGCTTGGACCCCGCGCGGGCGCTGCTGCGCTGGTGGCGGAGCCCGGGGCCCGGAGCCGGCGCCCCTGGCGCGGGTGAGTGTCGCCGCGGCCCGCGGGCTCGGCCGGGGAGCCGGCGGGGGGGGCGCGGACTTGGCCCGGCGCCCGGGGCGGGGGTGTGCGCTCCGGGGACCCGGTGACAAAGGGCGAGTCGGGGCGGTGCGGGCGGGAAGGGCCCGACCCGCGGTCCCCTGCGCGGATGCGCCCCGGGCCGGTGAGGCTCGGGCGGGGCGGGGTCGCCTGGTCGCGGCTGCATCGCGCAGACCGGCCCGCGGGATCTGAAGGGCGCCTTCTGGGTGAGACTGGTCGCGGATGGATCCCGAGGGGTGCGGGCGCCCCGCACTCGGTTTCGGTTTAAACCAAGGACGGACGCTTTTCCTTAGCGGGGCCCCAGACCGCGAGGCCGCTCTGCGGGGTCGGGGACTCCTGCGGTGAAGTGAGGAAGGCGCTCCCGCGAGAGTCGATTTTGGTACAAAACAGGCTGGGCACTTGACCTTCAGAGGCCCTCCCGACTCGGAGAAGTGTAATTTGGATAAAAATGGAAAGGACACACCCGGCTCAAGGCTCTCTCCCCAAGGAGCAGGGGCCAGGGGCGCCTTGGCAGAGCTGTCTGCGGGCGAGGGATGGGCAGAGGCTGAGGAGGGAGATGTCATTTGATCCCGGGAGGGAGGGGGAGGATTGCCCGAGGCGGTGGTGGACAACCGGAGAGGGAAGAGGCTTCCCAGGCAGAGGGAGCCCAGGGCTGGGCAGCCTGCGCTCGTGCCACTCCATTCATTGGTCTTGTGCAAATTTTCATGGAGGGCCTGCTGGGGAGGGTGCCCTGGTGTCCTATCCTTGGCTCAGTGCACATGACAGCCTCGCTGCTGAAGCGTCCCTACGGCAGCGGGTCATTTTCCCTGGAAGGGAGACCGAGGGGGCCACCTGCAGAGGCATGTATGTCTGAGGAGAATCCCCGCCCCCGCCCGCCGCAGGAGGAGGCAAGTGGCTTCGGTCCAGGAGCAGCCAGCAGCCCTCCCTTAGGTGCCGCATGTGACTGCAGACCTGGAGGGACCGTGTCCCTGGGGAGAGAGGGTGCAGGTGGGAAGCACAGCAGGGGCCCTAAGACCAGCCCCGGAGGTGGGGGAGAGGAAGTGGGGTCCTGTGGATCCCGTGGGCTGAGGTAGGATTTCCCTTCCTCTGTGAGTGCTTGGGAGCCGCAGGAGGGCTTTATCCAGCCCCGTCTTCCTAAAGGATCCATGCAGAGTGAACAGAGGTGAAAGGAAGTGCAGTGGGGAGGCTGCCCACCCAGTCCGGGTCAGAGTGGGGGTGAGCAGGGCGGGGTCTGCATAAAATGCGGAAGTTGAGAGAGGGGAGCATGGTCCAAATTTACAGCCCACCGAAGTCAGGGCCGCGGGGATATATATATTGTTTTAATTATTGGAGGTGGGCATTGCCGAGGTCAGGATTCTCTCCTGGACAGGGTTTGGGATGCCTTTTAGACGCCCTGGGGGCGGTCAGGGTGCTGCAGGCGCTTCCTGACACGGAGGTGGGGAGGCTCAGCGGGTTGGAGGAGGGGTGGGCAGAGCTGGAAGGGAGGTGGGGCCAAGGTCAAGGGTGGCCTCCGACCCAAGATCAGCACTTGGTTTCTGGTCTTGGGCACCAGAAGCCCTTTCTGTAGAGAGCCTGTCTGTGGCGGGGTGTGTGAGAGTCTGTGGATCTTACTGAGGTCCCTTTGGGAGAAACGTCTTGCCTCAGATCTCATCCTCGGGCCCCCTGGCACCACCCAGCAGGGCCCTCTGTGTCGCTCATTTTCTCTCTGGTGGTGGTGAGTGGTGCCTGGCCTGGGCCACAGGGCTTCGAGCTGTTGTGTCAGTCTCTGGGCTTCAGGATGGGGACTCCTCGCAGCCATCGCGCTGCTCTTCTGGGTCCCATTCCCGCGTGACCCCGCAGGACAGCTCTTACACTTGACTGCTGGGGAGACCCAGCTCTGGAGAGTTTAAGTCACTGCCCCGCTCATGGTCCGGCCGTGAACTTGGTGGGTCTCCAGCCAGCCAGTGGCAGTGCAGACCCCACCTGTGGGCTGTCCGGGTGGGAAGGCCCTCCCTGCCTGCTTTCTGTGTGGGCGCCCTCCGCCTGCCCGGGGTTTATGGCTGTCAGACCGGGGGCGCTGCTCGCTTCCGCTGGCTGCTCATGTCCCCAGCCCCAGTCCTCTTTCCTGGGATGGTGGTTGTTTGGCTCTTAGAAACCGTGGAGGTGCTTCGGACCGGCTCAGCCAGAGCTTCTCCACCCAGAGCTTGGTTCCCTCCCTGGGGTGGCAGGGGCTGAGGGAGCCCCTGTGGGTGGGCCTTGTCCCAGAAGAGTCCTGTTCCCATCACCTGGTGTGCTTCCCAGCAGCGTGCAGAGCACTGGGTGAGCAGCACTGAGAGGGCTGCACCAGCTCTTTGGGGGGCTCCATTACCCTGCACCCCCAAAAGGAAGCAGACCTGTGGGAGATGACTGCATGCTGGAGATCAGTAGGGTCAGCTGGGCCACCGTGCCCCAGCCCACGGGACAATGGGTTCAGTTAGCTCCCCGGGACAGATGGGGAAGGGGTTCATTGGGTGTGCCGCAACAGGGGGTCAGAGAAGGGGGCGCACTGGGTGGGGTGCGGCCAGTCGCATTGTTTCATTGGCCCTCTTGCGTCTCGAGAGTATCACTCCTGTTCTCAGACACAAGAGCTGGAACTGCCCACAGAGGCAAAGGGCAGGCGCTCATTTCTCTGCAGGTCACTGTGTGGGAACGTGGCTCAGGGTTGGACAGCCAAGTTAGGACTGGGAACTGGGAGGGGCAGGGTTTTCTGGTCCCTGAGAGGGCTGCTCTGCCCCTAAGGATGCTACGAGAGCGGGTGCCCCTGGGTGCTGGCTTGGTCGGAAGTGAAGCCGACTGAAAACAGGAAACTCTGCAGAGGCTTCCTGGCTCAAAGTGGGTCGGGCTAGCTGAACTCAAAACAGACTGTAGCTGTTTCTGGGTTATACCCTCAGACTCTGAATGCTTTCTTTCAGGGTTGGGGCTGGCAGGAGTGTGCGTGCTTGTGTATGTGCGCGTGCACGTGCTGGCTCTGTGTGTGTGTGCACATGCGTGTGTCTGGGGGGGTGGGGTAGACACTGCTACCCAGGCTCCACCGTTGTAGGAGAACCCTCCCCTCCCTCCCACCAGCCCCTCCTGGGATGCCCCCCCCACCCCTGCTGGTGGTTAGCTCCTTGGCCGGGTCACTGCTATATCGATAAAGGGTTTCTCTAATACCTCCTGGCAGTGCCAAGCAAAACTTAGGCAAACCACAGATACTGACAGAAAATGTAAAATCTGGAAACACAGAAAAGCAGGTACATAGAAATCACCCTTAGTCTCACCCTTAGGCAGTGAATACTCTTTGGTGTTTTTGTCTGTGTAAACGCGCGTGAAGGAAAAGCTTGGGAAACATACTGCAGAATGTTGTTCAGGGATACTCCTTACACACTTAAAATGTGACTTTTAAAAATCAGCTTTACCATCTGATGTCTGGCGTTGGTTCAGGTCATGATCACAAGGTCCTGCCTGCATCAGGCTCCCAGCTCAGCAGGCAGTCTGCTTGTCCCCCTTCCTCTGCCCCTCCCCCCAGCTCGTGCATGCTTGCGAGCATGCGCTCACTCTCTCTCAAATAGATAAAATCTTAAAAAAAAAAGTCAACGTTATTGAGGTATAATTTGCAGACACTAAAATCCACACGTTTTAAGGGTATAGTTTGGTGAACTCTGGTTAATATATGCACCTGCCTAAGCCTCCTCCCATCAAGATATAGGATACTCAGATCAGCCCAGAACCTTCTGCCAGGCTCCATCCCTCGATCTCTGGGCTGCTGCATCCGCAGGGACGGAGTTGACCTCTAATAGAATTTCCTGTAAGTGCAATCATGCAGTATGTGCTCTGTCTCCCGCTTCTTTGTCTCACTTAATCTTTTTGCAATTCATCATGTATCAATGGTTGGTTCTTCTTGTTACAAAGTAATAACTGTATTGTATGAGAAAACCAGTTTGTTTATCCATTCAGGACCATTTCCAGTGTTAGGCTGTATGAATAAAGATACTGATCATTTGTGTACAAGTCCCTTTGAGGAGCATATGCTTTCCTTTCTCTTGGATGCGTAGTTAGGAGTCAAAAGCTAGCATAGAAAATCTATGTCTTAAGACATGATTTTTCTTGGTTGCGCAATATTTTATTACACAAACACTACAAAGGCCCTTTTTAGTCGATGATGTAAAAGTTCCTCAATCAGAATTGGATGGATGAAGATTTTCATGTAAAGATAGAAAGAAAACAGAGGACAATTTTGCAATCTGGGAGGACCTCACTAACCAACATGGAATCCAGACAAAAAGAAAAATCTAGATCAGGATCTATGTTATTTCAATAAATAAAAATCTTATCCTATTTTTAAAAAATGACGGGAGTGATATTTGCAACAAATATGACAGTCAACTAATTTTATTTTTTTTAAAGATTTTATTTATTGATTTGACAGAGAGAGATCACAAGTAGGCAGAGAGGCAGGCAGAGAGAGAGAGGGAAAGCAGGCTCCCTGCTGAGCAGAGAGCCCGATGCGGGACTCGATCCCAGGACCCTGAGATCAAGACCTGAGCCGAAGGCAGAGGCTTAACCCACTGAGCCACCCAGGCGCCCCCAGTCAGCTAATTTTAAAAAGCCATTGCAAAGAACACGTATAGGCCGTTCACGGAAGAGCACAATTCAAGGGTGGGTGATGAGTGTCTGGGGAGATCCTGAGAGCAAAACAGCACAGAGAAGGAGCAGGTGTGACGGGCCGGTGAGCTGCTTCTCGGGTTTGGGAAATTAATCTGGCAATATTTTGACAGTGTTTTTTAAAAAAAGGATGTATCATTTGACCTATCAGTCTCCTGTTTGATCCTTTATCTCAAGGAAAAACACTAGTATTTAAGGAACTGTCTTTGACAGTGGAGAAGGCTCCTCTTCTCTGCGTTTGCTAAGACACTGCTGATGGTGTTGGCTTTCCTTTCTTCCCCCAA